CCCTCTCTACCACATGACAACTTTCCCCAGAGATAGTAAGTCTTCCTCCTAGTTCCAAATTATGTTACTCTGTTTGATGCAGTGCCAGCCACAACCACCCCCCCAATCCCCACCCTGTGGTTAAATTTACATCATGATGTCTGACCAAGAACCCATGACTAGATAGGTCAAACTCCCCAGGAGAGAACTTAGTACTATTTTTCTGGTAATGAACATAAAATATTTTTATGATAAACCAATTTTGTAGCCATATGAAATTGAACTACTTGAGAGAAAATGGCCTGCTGAGTCTAACAATGTATTCCTGGCTGTACCTCATTCTTTACCACCTCTGCTTTGTGAGATCTCTAATTCAATCTCATCCACATGAAGAATTTGTATGAATTGCATGGTCTGTATATAAGGTTTGTTTAGTAAGTCCATCTGGACTATGATGCTAATTACCTGCTGAGATAGTCCATTTATTTGGCGCTCCATACCGTCACTTGGTCCTAGAAACCTAGAATGTCCCAAGTCCAGCTCTGCAGAATTCTGTAGCTCAGTGAATTCCCTGTTCAGTTGTCATCCACAGACAGAGGCCTGTGCTGGCTCCTCATTTTCCTTTGCCAACCCCACCATCAAAAGCCTTGCCAACTCTACCCACTAAGTATCTCTCAAATTCTTCACTATGTCTCTCTAGGTCACTGCCTTTCTACACCATTATCCCTACCAGGAACATCACCGAGAGCTTCTAAATGGTATCACCACCTGTAATTTCACCATAGGACAACTCATTCTTCATACTATACTCAGAGTGTGTTTTTAAATTTTAATGTTATTTTATGTGTATGGACGTTTTGCCTGCACAAATGTCTGTGCACCATTTGCATGCTTTATATACACCGAAACTAGAGGAGGGTATCAGATCCCCTTGAACTGGACTTACAGGTGGTTCTAAGCTACCATGAGAGTGCTGAGAATCAAACCCAGGTCCTCTGGAAGAGCAGCCAATGCTCTTAACCATGAACCATCTCTCCAGCCCCAATAATCAAATCATTTTTTTAAACTAATAATCAAATTGTGTTATATACCAACTTGAAAACTTGCAGTAGCCGGGCGGTGGTGGTGCACGCCTTTAATCCCAGCACTTGGGAGGCAGAGGCAGGCGGATTTATGAGTTCGAGGCCAGCCTGGTCTACAGAGTGAGTTCCAGGACAGCCAGGGCTACACAGAGAAACCCTGTCTCGAAAAACCAAAAAAAAAAAAAAAAAAGAAAGAAAAAGAAAGAAAAAAGAAAACTTGCAGTAGTTCTCACTACTCATGTGAGATGCTTCAGACTCTTTAATATCATTTACAAAGCCTTCTGATAGGCCTACAACATCTCATTGCCTTCTCACTGAGACCACCTCGGACATAGGAACATCCTCTCTCTATAGGCATTGTGCTTTCTTTCATTTCTAGGGTTTTGTATGTGCTCTTTAGGGAGCCCCCTATCCCCTGCATTTAAGATGGTAGTCTCTCTTACTTGATGTCTGGGGTCACAGTTCTACTTGCAATTCTGTGCTTAAGTACCCATCTGTTTTCCTGTTGTGAAGCCTGGGAGCTGTGGGACCAGGAGATGAGGTAGTGAGGGGGTAGTAAGGGTGTGTCTAAACCCCAGAGCACGCCCCCCATCCCAGGCTTGAATGTCCCAGTGTAGATAGCCTTGTGGCCCCAACTTTGCCCCCCCCCAGGAGGTCTTGTAGCCTGGTAGCCAGTTTAATTTCCTCTCCTTTTATAAGGTCATGTCCAGCACCGTCTGGAATTCCTCTTTATGCAGATGAGACATCCCTACACCCTGGCCAGGGCCAATAACACACTCATCCCAGTAGCCCCTACCCACCCACCCCCAAAGGTTTAAGTAGCCTTTGTTCCCCCAAACTAAGGCTGTCTCACTGAAGCTGTCTCCTGAAAATTTTGTTTTTCATCATTTCATCAGGCTCACAGCTACCTGAGCTTCCCCCCCCCACAACACACACACAGCATTATTGCCCCTCCTTCCCCTCTCAGGATCCACCAATCACAATGGACAGGGAAATGGAACCTGAATGGCGTCAGCCTGTATCAGCCTGTCACTCAAGATGGTTAAGTCTGAAGGATGCAGCCACACCTCTCTAATTCACCCTGTATCTCCACTGGGTAATTCTGGGTATAAGGCAGAAGAGGCATTAAGTCTTTAAAACATTTAGGTTTAAAATGATACTCATTTGCAGAGAAGTTACCCAAGTAATACAGATAGTTCCTTTATACCACCTCTCAATTCCCAGTAGTCATGTCGTGCACTGATGCAGTATACTTGCCACAGCTAACAGACATGTATTAGGATCTCGTTATTAATCCAAGTTCACAGTTTTCCTTTTATAAGTAGTTTCAATTTTGTTTTACTATTATTACTCTGTGTGTGTATAAGTGCAAGCACAAACTTGCCATCCGTGTGTGTGTGTGTGTGTGTGTGTGTGTGTGTGTGTGTGCGTGTGTGTGTGTAGGTCAGAGGGCACCTTTCAGGAGTCTGCTCTCTCCTTCCATCATGAGAACTGAATTCAGGTCATCATGCTTACACAGTGAGTGCCTCCACCCTCTGACTATGGCGCTCTGGACCGACCTTTAGTAACATTCCCTTAGCTCTTACTGTATTCCCCTTTCCTGCTTTCAGGACCCTGCCTAGGATACCTCGTTTAGAGACCCTATCTCCTTAGGAACACACCTCTTGGCTTCTGTACTTTACTAGACTTTCCTTATTTTTGATTACCTTGAGCATTTGAGACTCTGTACTCTGTGGTATCCCTCCCTCTGGGATTGTCTGATGTTTCTCCCCAGATTAGACCGGATAGGATTGAGTGGAAACCACAGGTATCATGTGCATACTGCTAGTTGCCCAGTGAGACGTCTTTTGGGTGACATTTGCCTTTAGCACCTGACTAGGGTAGTGCTTGTCACATTTCCCCATGTCACTTACTCAGAAAGAATACCTTACGGTATTCAAGAAGACACTAGGTCTAGCCCCCTTTAAGGAGCAAGAAGTTTTGCATAACTTCCTTGAGGACAAAGTGTCAACCTATCTAACTGACATTCTTGTGTGGAGGAGACCTATGTAGCCTTCTCCCTGTGTTTACTGATCCATCTTCCATTTGTGCAGATACAGAGCTGTGGCTCTTCATTACTCACAGGTTCTAATTCAATATTGCTTTATTTTGCTGCCTAGATTGTTTCTTCTCTGGCCACTGGGGCTCTTTCCATGTTTGTGTTTATTTTAAATACCCCTTTTTGCCTTAGGCACATCCCTTTCTGGCAAGATGTTTCTCAGCATGACCCAATTATAAATTGGCCATTTCTCCAAGACTCCCTGGCTCCTTGCAAAGGTGACTATATGAGAAACCATAAGATCTCTGGAAGCATTACATAATTAAATTAAAAACTGGATTCATAATTGGATTCACTTGGAAACCACGGATATACAAAGAATGATGTAATGTTCCTACCACCCCAAACGAGCAAGTATTATTTTTAATTTTGCTTCTGACATAGTTTAAAAGAAAAGCACTTATAACATCAAAGGTCATTTCTCCCCTCTCTGTCTTGCCAGAAGCAATCAACCACTTGTGTGGATTCTTTTTTTTTTTTTTTCAAACACGTAGACTGTACATTATAGAGAGTACTTGTAGACTCACATATGTGTTAAGGGGAAGGCTGGCCTTTAGTTGAGCTGTGTCCCCTGACTTGTGAGCTGCTCTAGCTGGTAGCTGTGGTGCTGCCCTCTGGTGTGTGCACACATTCTGTTCCACTCACTTCTCCTGAAGCTTTGCCCTTCCTTCAAGAGTATCTTCTCTCTGCTGTTATTTGAAGCCAGTTCTCTGTCGACTGCCTCATGTATCATCCTTACCAGAAGGAAGCAGATGTGCCAGAAGCCATAGGCTTTGGGAAAGCAAACATTATTGAGGTTTTTAAATATAAATGAGTCGTTTGACAATTTAATCGCTTCCATCCTCACTCTTTCCTCCCCTTCCAACTCCTTCCCTTTCCACAAATCCCTTTCTCACTGTCATGCCTGCCTGCCTCATTTTGTGACCCACTGACTTTAACCAGGGCTGTCTACTGGAACTTGGTGGCCTCACCAATGGATACACAGCTAAAGACAGTGACTTCTCCCTTCCCAGAATCCATAGGCAATAGGTGAGCAAAGGACGGGGGAGACCTGTGTTAACAGGACCAGACTTGTGCAGGCCAAGGGCATATAACCACAACTGCTGGGAGATAAGACTGTAATGCCACAACATGTCCAGAAGATGGTGTTTCACAGCCCCTCCCTGTCTTCTGCTCTTACAGTCTTTATCTTCCTCTTCTATGATTCTTCTAGGGTCTCTCTTAGGGAAATTTTGAACTGCAAAGAACTGTACAAATGTAATATCTTACTCCTCTGTTCATTGTGCAAAATACATACATACATACATACATACATACATACATACATACATACATATCTTGAACTTGGCACATTTATTTATTTGTTAGGGGCACCTGGCTCTTGAACAATTATTTAAAATCTTTTATTAACATATACTAATTGTACCAATTCTGAGCTTAACAAGAGTATCAGCTCCTTCCGGTTCTTTTGGAATTGTGCTTTTGGAAAGTTAAGGGTGCCGGGGTCATGGTGTATCTGGAAACCATGATAGTAGTTTTTATTATTCCTTATTTTATTTTTCTTAAACCTGTTGTTCCTTAAAATATTATGAAAAATATCTCCCAAAGAGAAGAGGCTTATCATTGAAGCTCACAAAACCATCCCCAGCAAGGGAGTTAAAATGCAAAGTTAATTGCACAGTTGTAAGGCGAAAGGCCACAGCTTTCGTCTCCAGCCTTTGGATTCCTCTAGTGGGCAGTTCTAGTGATAATGTTCTGGGCATGGAGCATGTTGTCTTACCCAAGCAAGACAGGAGGACTTTGTTTGGAAATCCAGTAACTCATCTAATTTTTCCCTGTAGCCCACACTTACTTTGCAAAAGCAAATTTGGAAGCAGTTGCTTGAAGACAGTTGGCATAGTATCCGGAGAGTCAACACCTGCACAATGAAGCACTTCCTGAGGTAAGTGACCTCAGCTCCCTCTGAAACTGAAATCTCCCTGCCTGTTAGAGAGCTGTTTCCTCTGTTTCTCGGCTGTGGTCCCAAGACAGGTCTGTTGGCACTACATCTTGAATGAGGGTAACGTGTGAGGCTCCTCTCCTAACTCTCGTCCACACTTTGATGTTGAGAGAGCTCTTGGAGACGACAGCAGAGTCTGGGCCCAAGAACATGAATGTTCTTCACAACCTTGGAGACATGTGTCTCTGAAGAATGATATGCAGCCACCTGAAACTTGAAGTCCATGAATCATCTATTAAGGGAGCAATGGATGTAATTTGTGTAAAATCTACTGCTCTGAAATAAAGAATTTTAAATCTCCAAAAAGTTAGGGCTTGGCTGACACACCAAAGCACGATAGTGTTTTCTCTGACCACAGTCTGTCAGCTTCTTCCTGCTGCCTGGTGATGTCTCTGTGTTATCTATTAACAGCTCCCAGACAGACCTGCGTGGAGTATCAGTGTTAGTATACTTTGGACAGTCCTGCTGTTTAGAAAATATCCGCTGGACATCTTATAACTAACTTCAAGATTACTAATTGCCATCAAACTTTCTAGTAAAATATATTGAATCATAATAAAATATGACAAAATAAAGTCAGTCTGAGTGTTAGAAAATTAAATGCATTTTCCAAAAATTAAAAAATGTAGTCTTCTTTCCATCAAGATAGTGACCTCCGTCTGTGACACATCCTGTGCTCTGCTCTGGTCACCCTCTGAGCAATGGGCTTGCTTCTTTGAAGAAATTATTTGACTCTCTCAGAGGCAGTTTAAGGCTTTCTTCTCCCCACTGGTTTTGCTTCCATCATTGTTCTGGAGGCATAGGTAAGGGAGTGAGGGACTCACTGTACTTTGATATGGTCAGTGGTGATTACTAGGTAATTATGCAAAACTCTCTGGAGATCACAATTACAGAGTTTGTCATCTTGAACAGAATATTCACTAACTTGTTTATCTCAGCTATGTGAAGTGATAGTATTTGAAGGATCACTAAGACATTTATTTGACCTGATATGTTTTTGGTTGATATAGTTATTAACCCACCTGTTTATACAGTCAAGAAAAACTGGTATGACTATCTGCCGAATGGAAATATGGATCCTTTAGCTGCAGAATCATGATAACAAGAAGTTCCATGTGACCTGCAGCTTAGCGGCCAGGAGCGTCCTCCATCACAGAAGTCAGGGTGATTGTGAGATTTGTGTCAAGCCTGTACTGCTGAACTTTTTCTTCTGTCTCAGTGCATTTTGGAAAAACTTGAGCCAAAACCATTCTACAAGAAACTGTAGCATTGGCTTCTCTAAGTTTCCTTGATAATTGGAATGAATGCAATGGTGTGTTTGTAGAGGCCCTAACACTTGATTTTAGAGGATCAGTGATACTGAAGCAGTGTCAGCTGTGTCTGCTAACACACACTTCTCTTGTTCCTTGACACATATATTTATAAAGATCACCTGTAATTCGTTACTTATGTGAGACTGAAGATAGAGGAGCAGACTGCACATTAAGAAGGAAATGAGGGGGCGGCAGAATGGCTTATAGGGTAAAGATGGTTGACTGTGAGTCTGATGACCCGATTTTGATCCCAGAACCCACATGGTGGAAGGAGCCAACCAAATCCTGCATGTTGTCTTCCACATGTGTGCTGTGCATACCCACATACTCACAGGCAAACAGGTACACACAATCACACACGTGCACACGCATGTGTACAAGCATGCACACATGCACATACACACAGATACCACATGAATAAGTGTTAAAAGAAAGAGGGTTCTCCACTAATTGCTTATTTTGAAAACACAAAAGGAGCTTTGTTACCCATTCTTTGTTGATTGCTGGTTTTTTGGTTAATATTTTGTTTTTAATATTTTTTTTACTGTCATATTGTTTCAGGTTTTTTTTAAATGTATATGGAATGTGAAAGGGTAGACATCAAGAAATTTAAAAACTCTATAAAGTTATGTTACTATTTTTCCCCCAAACAGTCCACAGTCCATTTTCATAGCTGTTGGGCAACTTTGGAAATCCTTTCATTTCAACAGAAAAAAAAAAATATATGTATATATATATATATATATATATAACATTGCCTGGGTGAATCAGGTATTAATTTTTGATTCATTACATTATGTAAAATGAGTAGCTGACTTTTACTGAGGAGAATTTCAGCATTCCTTAAAAGGCCACAAGGAGATTCATCTGTTAACTGAAATGTCCTGGATGAACACCATAAGAAGCTAGATTAACTTTGAGAAATCCAGATGGTAAGAAAGAATGTGTTTTAACTTACATTTAAACTATATGATGTCTATATTAGTCTTTTTTTTCCTAAATGCCTCAATCCAAACAATTTATTAAAAAAAAAAGTTTATTCAGCTCATGATTCTGGAAGCAGGGAGGCCCAAAGTAGAAGGACTACATCTGGAGAGGACCTTCTTGCTGCCAAAGACCCTGAAGAATCCCAAGGCTCTAGATGGTGAGAGGGGCCTATGACAGACACCCAAACTAGACTACATAAGAGCCCTACTTTCAAGATCATAAATGGATTGATCCACTAACCCATAAGTGGACTTGTTCATGAGGGTGGTGCACCCATGGCCTAGTCATTTCTAAAAGGTGTCACTGGTCTAACCCCTTAACATTTCACAGCGGAGATCAGTTTGAACATGAGTTTTGCACGGGCCAATCAAATCACAGCAGTAGCCGCCTCTTCGGCTGCTGCCGCCATTACTTATAGTAATAGTGGAGCTACTCAGAGCAAAACGGAAAAGAGAAAATGTTTTATGTGTGTTTCTTTAAACGCATCAGATAGAACAAATAATTGCTACAGGAAGAGTACTCCCAGCTGAGGATATGTTTGTAACTGAACGCAGTCGTGGAACGTTGGCTAACTGCCCGCGGCTCCCAATCTGACCTTAGTCACGGCTAGATAAAAAGAAATCAAAGGACACAGTGAATGAGAACAACATGTCCGTATGACCTCACAAGGAGGTCAGCATGTTTTAAACCCCGCGTGGAACTAAGGCTTAGCGTTTTACAGTACACTGTATTTATTTTAATTCAATTGATAGGTGCCGTAATGGGGCTCAAGACTTGTACTCAAGATCTTTGCCCTCATTAGAATTTCATTATTTTGAAATTGGATTTTTTTTTTAAGTCACCAGAACATTATTTTGGAACATTCTGAAAAGGGGAATTTTGAAGTCACTCCTTATAAATAATTGCCACTGACTGTCCCAGCCTTAGTTTCTCACTTCTCCATTGTGAACCTTCCTGTGTATGTTCATTCCTGAAGTAAGAAAAGACGGGCAAGAATTTGGCAAACTCAAACCTCCATGAGAGAAACTGAGCAACACAGCAGATCCGTCCGTCCCTCCAGGCTTTGAAGTAATTGGGGAAAGTATTTTACTGTTCTGATTGGCTAACTAAAGCCTCATCACTCACAAACATAACTGTATGGGGCTTTGAAAGTCCTTCACACTTAGCTAACAGTTAGGTAGACTGATTCTTCCAGTCATCACTTGCTGAGATGACACCCATATTATAACAATTTTCTTCTTAGAGCAACTATAGTAAGGGGCTGGATGAGCATCTTATAGAGGAAGACCAGGAAGCTTGCTTAGCATTTAAACACAGACCTATTTCCGGTAGCTTCTGCATTTTGTAACCCCCTACTGTGAGTCTTTGTGAGTGAGACGCATGCATGAGAGATGACCTCTGCCCCAGAACCTAGGACTTTTGTAGTTTAGAATAAGGACAGCAGGTAAAAAGCCACAATGAGCAACGTAGAGTGAGCGCTGCAGCACCCGTGCCCCACTTCAAGAGATGTGGACACCTTTTAGAGTGAGCAGAGGATAAATAGAGGAATTATGAGACAATCCTACATTTGCAACTATAGCATCAAACAACCCAGAAGCACGGTAGCATTTTTACCCCTACTCAAAGCAGGCTTCGAAGAGAATCCTTTTCTCTGCTAGCTTATCTCCCATTAACTAAAAACCCAGTCTAAGCCCTTCCCTTAGCACACATGTGAAAGCAGAGACCCAGAGAGGCAGAGAGGCATAGTAGCTTGTATGAACCACACAGCTCATACTGGTGAATTGCGGATACATTTGCAGTCTGATTTCTAGACTATCCAGGCAAATGTTCCTTCCGTCCAGTACCAACCGACTTCCTGTGCTTTTGAGGGGCGACAGCACAGGAGTGTGGTTATGCCTGAATTTGCTCAGTGTCCCTTGAAGCATTGATAGAGTTTACTAGATAAGGAAGCTATCTTTAAACAATAAAGACAAGACCCCGAAACGAACATGAGTGGTCCATGCACCCAACTCCTCTCACAGAAGTCGGGTACTTTAATCCACTGTCTCAATTTTTCCTTTTTCACGACACATGCATACACATATACACAAACAAGTGTATATGTGTATATAAGGCGTAAATGCACACACTCACACAATCCGTAAGTGTACAAGTGCACACAAGCAGCTCCTTACTCTTCATATCTCTTTGTGCACACGTTTTATTTTTTTTTCCATGCACTGAAACAAACAACTGTTTCTACACTCTTGCAGAATCTATTAACTTGAATCTTTTCCCAGTTATTCCCTCCGGTGCTGTCTCTAGAGTGTGCTACTGCTAGTCCTGTGCTGTGTTTCCCCTCAGCTTTTCAGGGGCTCACTGTTTGGCTATGTGACTATTTATTAAACCCCTTTCCTTCGGAGGCAAGATCAGTGGAAGCCAGGGGCATCCCATAGAAGCTGCTCTGGATTCTAGTTATTTATTTTTTTGAATAAATTTTGCCTCTTCCTCTGGAAAAAAAAAACACAATGGCCTCCCAGGTATTTTCTTACCTCCCTGTGGGACAATCTAGATTGGCTTCCCTATTGCCTAAGAGATGGCCCACTGGTAAGCAGCACATCTGCTCTTGCAAAATAGTTGAGTTCCCAATGCCAACTTCTGTCA